ACACAATTTTCAGAGCTCCTTAAGATTAAGCAAACCCTCTAGTAAAATGAACATAATGACAGAATAGTATACATAAATTAGGATAGGAAGAACTCAAGATGAAGAAGAGAAGAGCTCGAAGCTCAAGACTCTTGAGCGATGTGTATCTGTAGACAACCTTGGGCACATGCTTATATAGGGTCAAAAAAACATGGGTGGCTGAAAGGCAAATAAAGACAGCTTAATGGCCATTAAAAGATTGGCAAATAAGACAGCTTAATGACCATTAAAAGATTAAATACTACTCAATGACAATTTATAGAAACTGATTTTGAATTTTAATATTAAAGGTAATTAATGGTGAATAAAGTGCCCGACACCGCATCTAACTCATGCATAGGGGAAAAAGCAGCATCTCAAATATATTGGCCCATTATTATGTGCACAAGTCCACTTCTCTTCTTAGTGATTTACTTGCTCAAATTTTCATCTTGGTATACACACTAAGGCTTTCTCAAGTTTGAGCAATGTAAGATTTCTTTTCACACACAAATGAACTCCAACAAAAGGGACCTAAATGTTTATTCAAACAAACGAATGACACAATCGCTCGCCAATCATATTTGACAGCGTGTATAGCTTGTAAGCCTTTGAAAACACTAATATGTCCAGGAATGCTATGGCAGCACATTATCTGCCGTACTCAGTAAAGTTCTCAAATTTTCATTCACAAAGGACCTAAAAATAGAGGATCTAACAAAGTTGATACCAAAATGGTATCGATATAAGGTAAAAGGATGAGAAATTTTTGTTTATCTATTTATTTTTTTAAAAAAGGGGCTTTAGTCAATGGTCATAATGCATGCTAATTTTAGACTTACAGAAAACACTCAACAACATGCAAGCACCACATATAGGAGGTATTTAGTACATTTAGACTGGTATATTTTCCATAACAATTTTCACTTACTGTACCAAAACATGGCCATCTTCAAAACCCACTCACCCAAAAAAAAAAAATTTACTATTATATCATCCATTTTAGAGGTAACTAATAAAGTAGCAACTTACAATGTTTTGATGTTGGCATGTCTCAATGAATTCCACTGTATAGAGTCTAATAAAATGTGATTTCATGAATAGGATATCAATATTTAATTTTTGTACATGATGCAATTCCAAGATTGATACTATCATGACATGCAAGCACCACATATAGGAGGTATTTAGTACATTTAGACTGGTATATTTTCCATAACAATTTTCACTTGCTGTACCAAAACATGGCCATCTTCAAAACCCACTCACCCAAAAAAAAAAATTTACTATTATATCATCCATTTTAGAGGTAACTAATAAAGTAGCAACTTATAATGTTTTGATGTTGGCATGTCTCAATGAATTCCACTGTATAGAGTCTAATAAAATGTGATTTCATGAATAGGATATCAATATTTAATTTTTGTACATGATGCAATTCCAAGATTGATACTATCATGAGAGTCAACCTGTAAATTGCCATAATCTTTCTTGTTTAGGTCAAAATGGAGCACAAACAAACAACCAGGTACAATGTTTTTTATTATCTATTCTAAATTTATAGGTTAACCTGAGAAAACACGTTTAAGGGAGATGAGTTAGGTGCTACAGGTGCCACGTCCCAAAAATAGAGGGTGACTGGCATGGTGTATGAACCGTGCCACACATTCTCGTAAGCCTCAAAATGTAAATTAATTTCATTTCTAAAATATAATCAGATTTATCTTGATACTAATCATTATAACAAAGCTTTAACATTTTGTAGAAATTTTAACAAAACATCCCCGGTAAGCACAAGCTCTCAAAAATTCTACAATACAAAATTTTCACAAAATTCTTATATCAATTGGGAACTCAACTCCTCCCAGCCAACAAGCAACATACATGTGTGTGTGTGTGTGTGTGTGTGTGTTAAATAGAAACCCTAACTTTAGTCGTGGAGCACCTGGCCATATTTTCCAGAGTGAATTACACATAAATTATCATTACATCAAAAGGAGAGACTTCCATCAACTCTCCACTCATCATGCTTAAAAGTTCTCAAGATCAGTATAAGGATCAGCTTCAGCTAAGGTATTTGAGACCAAAAATATTTTTTAGAGAATAATATCCCCACAATAAAAAATTAAACATGATTAAAAAGGAAAGTTTGAAATAATTATGTAAGTCAAATAGACAACAATTTTCATAAAAATTTAATAAACTTTAAAATAAAATGATTTGATAAAATTTAAAAAAAATCTTAAACCATTGAACTATCATAATAAATATTTTTATCACTTGATTTTCAGAGAGCAAATAAATGAAATAAATGGTTGTAAATAATTTACTAGATAAAATCAATGGAATATAAAATCACCAAATAATCAAATTCACAAAAATTTTTTTAGGGACTTATTAGAACAATAAACAAACGTGGACACACAATTCACGAGGATAAATAACCGAACGCGGCTTATTGCCACAAATACAAACGTGGACACACAGTCTATGAGGGTAAGTAACCAAACACAGCTGAAGCCACAAAACAAACGTGAACACATAATTCACGAGGGTCATGCTAACCAAACGCGACTTGGAGCCACGAAACAAACGTGAGTACTAAGCTCACAAATAACCATCCCTCCGTTCCAAGTATGTTGGCCATCGCATGGAGCTAGCATATCTTATGAACACCTTGCTAGCTAGGTGTACCATGGTGCACTAAGGGCTAACAAAACTACCGTTAGCAACCAGTGTTCCGTATAAAGTCTCTTTTTTAAAACCATTTTCAAACATGCAAGAAAATCATCACTTTCAAGATACTGTTCTCATTCTCAAAATCAAACTTGCATGAATACTTTTAAGCATTAAAACTTGCCAGAATAAAATTTCATATCCAATGCTCATGCTTGCATTTATCGAATAATCAAAAAATTTTCGAAGTCGAACTCATAAGAATCATTCTCTGTATCAATCAAATATTTGATAAAATAAAAATCTCATAATGAAAGTCCAAACTTGATTTAATTGATCAAATAACATTTCAAATTTGGTGAAGCTAATTTCTCAAAATAAAGTAATGTTAATCAACAAATATCCAATAATCACATTAATGCTATTAAAATGATTTCCAGAAAAAAAATGTAATATTTTAGTAAAGAAAATTTTAATTGAAAAAAAATCAGTTAGGACGTTATCCACTTACCTGAATGTTTCTCAAGGATTCTAAAACTTGCTTCTCTTAACTTTTGATCTCTATTCTAATGAAGCCTTTAATGTCCTGACAAATGAGTCAAAATTCTACAATCATTCATCAAATAATCTTACAAGCACTTAATGGGTATCAACATTCAATCTAACTGATACTAAAAACACTATAACCAATTACATTTCAAGTATACTTGAGTTAGTCAAATTATTTGACAACTCTCAATTTACCCCCGTACTCCCTTATGACCCTAGTCAATCATAATTCACTATAAATATACCAGTCATTCTTAAACTTCCTCTAAACTAAAAAAGAAATAAACAAGCATCCTATATAATCATTTTTCCTTACTTTAGTAGTTTTAAAAATTTTCAATTAATAACTTAAACTAAAACTTACATTTACTCCTTTAACCTATAATATAAAAGACTAACAAACTATAATTCACCAAATTCTTCTCTCATACTTTTTTACAATTACCTTGAAGGCATGCATTTATTATTGACAAAATTATGAAATAAATAACCAAAAAATTTCAACAACTTCTCATCTTCAATTTATTTTTATTTTATTCTTAATTATATTTCAACTCAACATAATTGAAAGATTTCCAGCCCCCAACCGAAAGCAATACTTCAATCCTAGCTGAAGGTAAAACACTAAGAAGAAGGAACAGGACCACATCAAGCAATTGGGGAAAGGAAGGGATTGTTTCATGGCTGTTGTTGCACTCGAAGAGGGAGAAGAGAGGATTAATGATTTGCCTTAACCTTAGGTGCAGTGATGACAGCTTAGAACCATCATGTATTCAACGCTGAAAAGGAAAAGACAAAAACGAAATGCTCTGTTTTGCAGCTCGGATGATAAGGAAGAAGACCAGCTGTCGTGGCCAAAAAAGCAAAGGATTTGAGCTTACATATACATATGCAAGACACTCAGCATTTGAGAAACAATAATAGGTGAAGCTAAACACACACACGTACATACACACGGAAGCCAACCTGAATAGAAGCAAGAATGGCAGTAAAGAAGGAACAAAGGAGAGCTTCAGGTTTCAACACGCACGAGAAGGAAGGAGACCAAAATCCAACCAGCAAACAACATCATCGATCTACCATACACACGTGCACACGAACTTTTTAACAGCTAAGGAAGAAGAGAAAAAAAAAATAGAACTGAGCATGCAAACACACATCTTCATCCGCGATAAACAGAGCAGAAATGGGGAAGAGATTGTCAGCTACTCCACACGACGGAGATGAACAAATCGTTGAGAGCACATAATGAATGAACAGCCGATGATAGGGAAAGAGAAGCAGCAGCTTGGCTTCACTGTGGCGGGAAAACAAGAGCGACAAGAACGACAGCAGATAAGCAACAGTAGCAACGCGAATTCACCGTTGACAGCGAGCAAAGAATGTGTGTAAGGTTCAGAGAGATGAACTGACTATATGAGGATCTAAGGAGGTGTATAATGGCGGTGAGAGGAAAAATCGAGATGCTCTATTTTTTTTCGCGTAAAAAAAATTGATTTAGACCAAAAGATGCAATGGAAAAAATTACAAAAAGAGCACCAAAAAAATCACAATAAGGGGCACAAAAAATTTACAAGAAAGGACACAAGATTTTTCTACAATTTTAAAACTAAACTTAGAAAAATTTAATCTTTAGATCTTTAGAAAAATTTTCATCATATGTTCTTCTAAACTACCAATTCTACTTATTATAAAATCTATTTAAATAATATATTTATTGAGAAAAAATTTTTTAATATAAAATTGAGGGTCATTACAGCAGAAGCAGCTCTGACAGTAGCCCCACTCGCTTCAGTTGTCTGACTAATTGGAAACTGAGCAATTGGTTCAGCAGCTTCTGTTGCTTCAGGAGTTCCCTGCAGATGAAAGTTGTTTAAATCCATAAGACACTAAAAAAAATGAGAACATAGAAGAAACAGAGAACAAATTAGACACACAGAATACAAGTAATCTACAGCACGCTCTGGGTTATGAAAAGCTGCCCAAAAAGCACAACTAACTACCCCTCTGTCCCAGTTGCCACCACCCATGTCCATAATTTGTCGAGTAGTCTGTTCAAGATTAGCACCAGCAACTAAATTTCAAGCAGCCTCATGGTAAGTATCTGTAGGTACAGTGCAAAACGTTCAGATGCCAAAGTAAAGAAGCTTAATTCAATAAGGCATTAATTAAGTTTTTAGAAGCTAAAGTAAAGTAGTTCTCAGAAAAAAAAAAGAACAAAGAGGAAAAAAAAAAAGGAAGAAAGAAAGGAAAGCATTTATTCTTCCACCTCTATTCCCTTGACATCTAGAGGCTTGATTATTCCTCCAATGGAAAAATTCAAGTATCCGATATATTTATTTTCATTCTAGATTTCAAACCATTCTTTGTCTATTAGCTTATAGCCTCAATTAGAATTTGAAGACGAAATTTGTTATGCAGATGATTTCCCAGTTTAGGATATTTGAAATTTAATTTCATATTTAACCGGATGGAATAGTGTTATCTCAAAGAAAACCATTGATTCACTTAAAAGTTGCTTCAATGGAAAATTTAGTGTGACAATGGTGATCAAAACATCGGTTATGATTTTCAGCTATCAAACTAAAATAACTGAATGTTAGATGCAAAATATATTTAGCTCTCTAACAAACTCTGAAGCTTGTCAAATTCCAACCTTCGTAAGTTAGGTCACTAATCAATCCGGCCTGGTAGGGAATAAAAGGAAAAGAAATCATTCTAGAGCGAAAAAGGAGATATTGCATCCATAATAATTGTATAAATGCGCATAGACACTCCCACATCAACAATCATATAGGCACTTTTGCATCAATAATCATGCTTTGGAAAATTATATACGATGCCTATATAGTGATGGTAACATTTAAGATATGTTCACAAAATTATACAAGCAACAATAATGCAGATTAGCTTGCAAGTAACGTATGAGTCACATCTAATAAACTATCCCAATTTAACAAAAGTTTAGCAGACTCACCACACTACTACTTATGGATCCAATGGAGCTACAACAGAATGAATATGCCAGCTGATGCAGCTCCAAGGCGCCGGGATGTAAGGACCAAATAGGGGCATCGATCATATCAAGGGCCACACTAAACACAGCAAACACAACCTGCTAGTCCTCCAATGGGAACAAAGTCCTTACCTATCGCACGTATCCGTAATATGACTGATAACAAAAGCCTTCAAATTGTAGTTGTAAATAAAGAATGAAGAACCACATATGTAAGCAAGAAATTCCTACATGTTACCTAAAAAATTCCTACGGTGTACACAGTTATAGTAATGCCGAAACACGAAAATTGTGCACTCTTGTAACTTTGCTTCAGAATAAGGTATAAGTAAGTGGCTAAACACATTAAACACACCTTATGAGACTGATATCATCTTTGGTTGTCCAAAAACTTTGAGGTCAAATGCACAAAGATAAATCCCACCTTCAAAGCTGCATGCATGTCTCACGTCCCATCAATTCCATCAGGCCAAAGTAGCAGTTAGGTGATCATATTATGCATATTTATTATAAAGGTACATTGTAAATTTAGTGCAAAATATTTGCATCCAAGAATCTGGTTGGCTGTCCTAAGTCCAAAAGTAGCTCATCAAAATTCAACACCTGCCCCACTCATAATTTCAATTTTCCTATTCAACACCGTAAGGATTTTAACATATATCTTTTCTTAATGAATGACATCCACAAGTACCAAAATTTATCCTCTGGCCATCCTATTACAGAGAGATCGACACATGACATGATGGCATTCTTCCTGTATGCTAACAGGAGAGAATTCAAATTGCACAAATACAAAGTATAAACAGCTGGTGGTATCAATGCACCGTTTATTTGTTAGGGAGCATTACATCCTGATTTCATAAAAAAAAATTAATTACTACAAAATCTATTGACAACTAAACTAAAATAATTGACTACACAATCAATTATCAATGACTTTAGTTTGGTTGTCAATGGATCTTAGTTCAGTTGTCAATGAACTTTTAGTAATTAATTTTTTTGTATGGGACTTCAATGTAATTCTTTGATATTTGTTAACACAAAAAGAAAAGAAAAGCATGGATCATCCCCACACTTTCTAGACATGCTGCTTGTTTAGCGTAAGAACAGTTAAAAAGACTGAGCAGTAACAGAATCATCTTCTTCTGGAGCTATTTACAATAGGTCCACCGTAAGTTATTTTGTGAAGTTGTAAACAATCCACAATATACAAACAATTAGGAAGAAACATCATGGTTAATGTAGTGGGGCATTGAAACCAAAATAGATCACTCAAAAAGAGTTCATCCAATGTTTCAATAATCATCTAAATTTCAGCTTATACTTATACTGAGGAAAAAGAAAGCCACCATACCATACTTCTAAGGATGAATAAAAGAAATTAAAGAGCCATAGATAGTATATCACTTTTGTCACACCCCAAAAATAGGACATGTTTAGCACAGAAAATAGGAATAATACCCATATCCCAAAAGTCTTTGCTCAAGAAAACTCTAATTTATAAATCATGAAGACCTTTTATAATAAGTTAAATCATCTTCAATACAACCCATATGAACGAAAGATTTAATATTTTTGTAAAAATTTCAATAGGGTCTCCCCTTAAAATAAAATCTCCAAAACAAATTTACAAATATTTTACAAAACAATAGTAGTAGCAAAGAACTCTCTTTCAATCAACAAATAATAAAATATAAATAATCAGGATGAGGGCCCTAATTATAGTTTATGTGGAGCACTTGACATAAGAAATTTATTTTTAAAGAAGTTTGATTACAGCTTTACATCTCAACTAAATATTACAGCCCCTCAAGGACTAGCAGAAGGCACAATATCAGCTAACATATCTGAGATCAAAATAATAATTTTCAGTGAATAACGTCCCAACAATAAATAATTTAATAAATTTTAAAATAGAATAGCTGTATAAAATTGTAAAATTAAGTCTTAAATCATTGAACTATCATGGCAAATGTTAATAGGACTTGATTCCAAGAAGCACATAAATAAAATAAATATTTATAAATAAATTACCGAATAACATCAATGGAATCATCAAATAGTTAGATTCATAATTATAGGGACTTATCAGAACAATTAACAAACGTGGATATACAATCCACGAGGATAACAAATCAAATGCAGCTTATGCCATGAAAACAAACGTGGACACTCAATCCACGAGGATAAGTAACCAAATGTTTCGAAGCCACGAAACAAACACGGACACACAGTCTACGAGGGTAATGCTAATCAAACGTGACTTGAAGACACGAAACAAATATGAGTATAATGCTCACGAATAACCATCCCTTTGTTTCACATGCATTGGCCATCACACGGGGCTAGCACCTCTTATAAACACCCTGCTAGCTGAGTGTACCATGGCCCGTCAAGGGCTACGGAACTGCCATTAGCAACTAGTGTTATGTATAAAGTTCCGTTTTAAAATCATTTTTAAACATGTAAGAAAATCATCACTTTCAAGATACAGTTCTCATTCTCAAAATCAAACTCGCATGAATACTTTTAAGCATTAAAGCTTGCCAGAATAAAATTTTATATCTAATACTCATGTTTGTATTTATTGAATAATTAAAAAATTTTTAAAGTCAAATTTGCATGAATCATTCTTTGTATTCCAATATTTGATTAAATAAAAATCTCATAATCAAAGTCCAAACTTAATTTAATTGATCAAATAATATTTCAAATTTGGTAAAGCTAATTTCTCAAAATAAAGTAATGTTAATCAATAAATATCCAATAATTGCATTAATTCTATTAAAATGATTTCTAGAAAAAAAACATAATATTTTAGTAAATGAAATTTTGATTGAAAAAAAATCAGTTGGGACGCTATCCACTTACCTTTAGTATGCCCAAGAACCAAAATTTATTTATTTTGACTTCATCCATGTCTCCCTTCCTCTAAGCACTCTATTCAAGGTGATGAACAATTTTGCAATAGCCCATAATAATAATAATAATAATAATAATAATAAGTATATATTTAAAAGTTGGTGTTTAATAGTAGTTATATTAATTTGGGAACATGTTTAATAAAGAGAAATGTTGGTAGAGTGGAAGCATGCATGCTAGAATATTTGAAGGTCCCAAGTTTGAATCCCCGGTGTAAGAAATGAAATTTTTATTTTGCTTAGCTCCTCTAAAATTACCAGAATACCCTTGCTCCATCATATATATTTTCTTTCTTCTCTCTCTTATCTGAGTCAGTTTACAGAGTGTGAGAGGGTGGTAGAAAAGTCTGGAACTCTGGTGTAACTTATCTCTTCGTCCTTCTGTGTCTCTATCTGTCTTCTTATTTTCAGTGGTAGTTGATAAGAGCGGAGGTTGTCACAGCTCTTGAATTTCCAAGAGGTTCACCTTCGTATCTCCCCTGTTCGGCGTTAAAAGAATCTCCTCTTATTTTCTTTGTTTGTTTGCCGCGGTTCAGGTTAGCTAAGTCGCATTGTCACTGACTAATCTTCTCCTTCGTATTCTCATGGTCGCCGGCCAGAGTAGAGCTTGAGCTGCACTGGGTTGATCTGTCCGTGCTTCTTGTCTCTATTTTTTTTTTTCTTCATTTTCTGCTCTGGTTCTATCTGTATCGTTACCTTCAAGCGGTAGCTGGATGAGGAACCGAGTTGCTGGAGCTGTGACAGTGCTGTAATGAGTCTGGACTGTTGTTGTTGATTCATTTGCTGTGTTTCCTTGCGAGTAGAGTCCAGTTTTTTCTGCTCCCCTGTTCTGCTGCAAGCTTCGTTTTTCTCATTCCATAACGTGCGGCACCATCAGTTTTCTCCTCTGTTCAGCATTTAAGGACCTTCTTCTCCCTCCTTTGCTGTCCGTTGCTGTCTGGATCAGTCAAGTTGAGGTGAGGAGTTTCAATCCTTGTATCATTAATTTTGTTGGGTTGTGAACGTAGGCTTCTGTTGCTGTGTGTGAGAATATAAGTGCTGTGTGTGTACGTGAAAACGCAGAAGATAGTGTGTGTGTTGCTGTTACTGCTCGGTTATGTGTAGTCATGACAACTTTAGATTTTTTTCTCTGTCGCCTATATTGTTACGTAGAGAGGAGAAGACAAAAATTTAAGCAAGAAATCCATCTGAACTAAGTAACAATACATGATAAATGTGGGTTGGGGGTTGAAATTTTAGAAATTCATCCTCCCTTGTGATTACATGTGCATACATAGAAAGGAGTGTTTTAAATTAATGGATATTACAGTTGTATAACTAAGGAAAGTGATTGAATTAGTAATAATACTTGGACTAATTTTAAATCATAAATTTAGCTTTAAATTTTAGATAAGGATGGTTAATTTGGAATTGTACTAAAGATTGGGAATCTATGAAATTATTTTATCTTGATAGGGGGTGAGGAAGAACGGGACCCTAATTAGAATTAAAAGAAAGGATATCCTTGAGAATTTGAAGTTCTGACGAGTAAGTGAATAGCATTCCATTTAATTTATTTTTATTTTTAATAGTCTTTTTCTTGAAATATTTTATTCTTATGAATTATATTAATTTTGAAAATTATGAAACATCAATGAAGGACAAATGAGTTATGACATGTGCATTTATTGATTTTTGAAAATATATTTTCAAGATGGATGAAATCATTTATGTATGGTTGTTAAACTTCAAAATTTATTGAATACTTAATTAATGCAAGTTTATGATGTTGACAAATATTAAGATTTGAAATAGTTCATGCGAGTTTGATAGCAAGAATGATAATTTATTTCAATGATAATTGTTTTTCTTGCATGTTTGAAGCGTGATTTTAAGAGAACTCGAAACAGAACACTGCTGCTAACGACAGTTCCATTAACCCATAGCGTGCTGTGGTTAATCACTAGTTAATTTGTTTCATGAGCTTTGCTCTCACGTTTGATATTCGTGGGCGTTGTACCCGCGTTTGATTCTATGGCCTGAGTCGCATTTGGTTACCCTCGTGGGCTGTGTGTCCACGTTTGTTTCGTAGCTTTGGCTATATTTAGTTACTTACCCTCGTGGCCTGTGTGTCCACATTTGTTTCGTAGCTTTGGCTACATTTAGTTACTTACCCTCGTGGACTGGTGTGTCCATGTTTGTTTTTGTGGCATAAGCCGCGTTTGGTTATTTACCCTCTTGGACTATGTGTCTATATTTGTAACTTGTTCTGTTGAGTTCTCAAGATCTTAAATGTTGATTAATATGTATTTTTGAAATTTACATGATTTTGGCTAGCAATTTGTACCACTTTGAGTTATACGTAAGCAGATTATTTTCTTAAGTATGATAACATAAATTGTCTTCAATTTACTCTTATTTTATAAACATGGTTATGACTTACATGCTTATAAATTTTGGTGGAATTACTTTTAATTATCTGACACCATTATTAAAGATTGTCAATTTAAATTTTAAGAATTTCACCATGAGAATGCAATTCACTGGAAAAATTATTTGGCCTCAGATTTGTTAGCTGACGCCGATCTCACCATTGACCTCAAAAAGGGCAACTAGCTATAGTGGGTGGACATTTTGATTGGTATTGTTGCTTTTAATGTAAATATAGAATTTTTATGTCTTTTTGATTTGAAAGAAAGAATAGATGCTCCACATAAGTTGTTGATAAATCTTATTTTTGATCTGTATATTGGTTGCTATTGGAAGGAGCTACGCTCCTGATTTATACTGTTATCTGTAAAAAAAAATTTTATTGTACAATTTTCGAGAGATCCTAGTTACAGGGGAGGTTCTGCCGAAATTTCTAAAAAAACGTTGATACTTTCTTATGATAATGAGTTTAAAGGAGTTATTTTAATTCTCACGTGATTTGATTAAATTTTATTCTTTTCTTTTGAAAAATGGAATAAATATTCATTTTGAGGCTTACGGAAATGTGGAAGTGGTTCACACCCGTGCCGGTCACCCTCTATTTTTGGGGTGTGACAAATTTAATGGCCTTACTCTAGCCAAATAAATTATCTTCCAATATTGGTAATACTATAACCAATCGAACTCTAAATCATTATAACTTAATCAACCCAATCTCAGTTTCTTTAATCCTTTTAATACTTTACATGTCTACCTTTCTAAGTCTACCTTTCTATTTGACACTTTGATTAGATTTTAATCTGCCTTTCAATTCTTATACTAAATTTTAATCAAGTGTGTGTGTATATAATTTTTATTAATTATAGTACAACCATCACATATAATTTACCACAATAATCAATATTTCTCCCTTATAATAACAAGTTGCTTAAAGCATGATTGCCATTCAAAATAAGCTTCCTAATCCTCAATTCAAACGTACTTCAACACTATTCCTATCCTTGCTCATGCACAGCCACAGAGCAAATGGAAAAGAATAAATTTTATCCACTCCAATATCCATGTACAGACTAGCCGAGGAAAAGAAGACAAGTGGTATTCACCCATCTATGGAGCACATGAGAATTTAAAAGGGCAGACTCAAAATATTGTCCAGCCTCATGAGCACGGCAGTGACACTAAAAACAGGGGAGAATGACCGACAATCAATGAAGTTTAAGATTGAAGTTTGAACAACCAATAACAATAAAGAATAAGAGAAGCTGAACTTACCACACACACATACTTGACACCCATGCTGAGAAGAAAAAAAGAAATTGAAGGCTGAGAACACACGCACAACACGAGCTCGCACGACCAGCAAACAGGAAAGTAAAGGAGAATAGAAATCATGCAGCTCAGCACTTCAAGTTGACGGCGTAGACGGAGAATCTATGGTGAAGACCCAGGACGCACACTGACAATAAGAATCAGTAAAGCAAGTCAGAAATGAAGAGGAAATGGTGAAGCAAAAACCAGGTGCTCTCTCTCTCCTCGTGCTCTCACTCCTCCACCATAACAGAGACAGCATGAACAGAGGAAGATGTGGAAGAATCCGACGGCCTTCAGCAGTAAGAGATCTCCCGCTTCACACAAACACTAGCAACGTACAGATGAAAGAGGACGAAGAAGAATCCAGCGGCACACAGACGTTCATAGCAAGACGCGAACAAGAACGGAGAAGACAGCAGTGACCGAGGAAGATGAAAACAAAGAGAGCACGGCTGAGGGCCTGGCATCGCACGGGAGTGACAAGCTCCCACTTCGCCGGCGGCAAGGGTAGGATAGTAAAGACAAGCATAGTCGAAGAGCACACGATGGACAAGTCTAGAGTTTTGATCTCTAGCCCTCTCTGTAGCTCAAAACAAGATTGAAGAAAGAGAAGGAGGAGAGACGGTAACTCGAAGCCCATGCAACGATGGTCGGAACTCTCTCACTCACTCACATACCTCAAGCAGTTGGAGATGGCAGGGGAGAAGGAGAAGACGGAAGAAATGGTAGAGTTTTCCAGACTTCTCTAGTCCTAGAACACGATCGAAAAAAAGAGAGGAAAATAAAAAAAATCATGAGCTCTCCCTTTCTCTTCTGCCTGCTGCACCGACTAAGAAGGTACAAAGAAATTCAAATAATAAACTCATGGAGAAATTTACAAAACTAGACCCAAAGTTTATCGAGAAAATTTTAAAAGAAGACCCTTTCAATTTTTGTTATTATAATATTTCTATAATAAAAAGCAATATCTCTTTAATACTCTTCCATATGAATAAAAATAAAAATAAACTAACATTTATCTAAAATAAAATTCAAACTTTAGACCTCTATATAAATATCGAATATGAATTCCAATACATCACTGCTCTTTATTTATCATAAAATTAAAATTAATTAATTATCAATTGGAAGGAAATTTATTTAATTTAAAATTAAGGGTTATTATAACTTTGCTTTCTTTGAGAGCAATGAAAGAAGAGAGTATGAGAATCATGAGCTGGTACATGCTTAATAGCTTTAGAAAATACTAAGTTTACTTCTCTCAACTCTTCCCCCCCCCTTTGTTTCTTTCACTAAGTTTCAAAGCAACTATTCCCTTAGGAATTTCATATAGAATTCCAATGAACACTTGAAAATCTAACAGAACTTTTTGATGATAATACAAAATGTGGCTCTGTTCTAATACTGCGGAAGAGTGTTAAATGTAATTAAAAGATCATCATTTTTATTCATATTTGATAATGAAGTAGTAAGCCATAATACTTAGGTCCCGCAGGTCCCCAATGAACTACATGCCTGTAGCCTGCAGGAACCAATCAGATGATACATGGAAATAGAAGACTCAATCGTAAGAGTTATATGCTTCAAAATCACCTCAATGTTTAATAAGCAATGTACCTCTATTTATTCGCTCCCACTCCCAGTAGCCATCAAGAACTCGCCCTTACATACAACTTCACCACCAACATAAGCCTTCCTTCCATCTTGGCTATCCCAAGTCGCTTTTGCAGCTTAATAAGTGTCATTCCCATAACCAAGGTATCTCCTGCAATCACCGGCTTCCTAAACAGGAATATGCCTATTCAAGCACAAAAGAAATTTTCACGAGAACCTCCCAAAATTGATGGTATCTTAGTTGTGTCGGCACTTTACTGAATTAAGATTGACTTAACATAACATAGGCCTACCCTAGATCCTTTTTAAGGAGCAATTTAGGGGTTATCTTAAGTTAGTAATAGATATTAAAATAATAATAAAAAAAGATATAAAACTAAGTGCTAGATATCTATACTAAAATGTAAATGAGAAAAATATAATTTATGAAATTAAAACACGAAAAA